TGGAGATGACAAGAGGCCATGGCGAACTCATGGAAATGAGAATAGGTGGCTATAGCCAAAGCCTATGGGTGGGGCATGGAGTGAAAGTGAAGGAGATGGTGAGAGATGAGATCAGAGGAACCAGAGTCTAAATCTTTAAAGACTTTGTACTTTATGTGGAAGAAATTGGACTTTTTTTCTAAGAGCAATGGGGAACCATTTAACAGTTTCAGGTAAGAAACAACACAATTAGAGTTTTATTTGACAAAACCCACTCTAGCTGTGGGGTATAGAAATGATTGCAGGTGGGGCCAGGCATGCTGGTTCACGCCTGTAATCCCAGCACTTTGGGAGGCTGAGGCAGGCGGACCACCTGAGATCGGGAGTTCAAGACCAGCCTGACCAACATGGAGAAACCCCTTCTCTACTAAAAATACAAAATTATCGGGGTATGGTGGCTCATGCTTGTAATCCCAGCTACTCAGGAGGCTGAGGCAGGAGAATCACTTGAACCCGGGAGGCAGAGGTTGCAGGGAGCCAAGATCATGCCATTGCACTTCAACCTGGGCAACAAGACCAAAACTCCGTCTCGAAAAAAAAAAAAGACATGATTGCAGGTGACTAAAATCAGAGGTGGAGGCAGGGGGAGCAGCAGGGCAGGCGTCTGTTTGTGGGCGTGGCCCGCGTGAGACATCTAGTGGCCCATACTGGAGAGGTGGCAATAGGGATGGAAAGAAGTGGCCAGGAACCTGAAACCTGTATGTAGATAGTTGAATCTACAGGATGCGGTGACTGATTGGATGAGAGGAGTGAGTAAGAAGGAGGAGTCCAAGATTCTGACCCAGATTTCTTGTTCAGACACCTGGATGGTTTGTGTCACTGTTGTCTGAAATCATGGCCACATAAAAACCAACAGGTTTGAAGGGGAAGATGAACGTTCTGCTCAGGAATTAATAAGTTTGAAATGAGTGTGGGGCAACCAGGAGGAAATACCTAGTAAGCAGGTGGTATAAGAGTCAGAAGCTCAAAAAAGACATGCAGACAGAAGGTACAAACTTGGGTCTAAATCAGCATTCGAAAAGTCTTCTTTGAGAACCTTGTGCCAAGCACTGTTTTAGACAGTTGTGCTGCTATAGCGGACAAAACACACAAAAGTGCTTGGGTCCCCATGGGGCTTATTTCCATGTAGACGGTAACTGACGATCTGCAGGGAGGCCTCTTTGCCCAGAGAGCAACGACAGAAAAGAACTGAGCTAAGAATACTGGGAAGCAATAGAAATTAAAGGATGCACAGAAGAAAGGAATCTGGAAAATAGACTGACAGCCCTGAAAATTGCCAGATTCAAGATGGGGGCGACACGTAAGGCAGGGCCCCATGTGGGATGGGGAAAGAGCTAAGGCAGGATGGTCTTAGGATTCGAGAGCCCTGAACGTGCTTGAATGCCACTGGGAAAGAGCCTGGTGGGGAGAAGGGGCGCAGATACAGGAGCTGGCGCTAGAGCAGGAGGGTAATTCGGAACTGATGTGGGGAGGTGCGGAGTAAGGTGGGAGGCAAGCCCCGCCCACTGTACTAGAACACGGGGAAAGGGGAGAGGATGTGTGGATGCAGGTGTTTGCAGCTGTGGAGCCAGGATGCGGGAGAAGTGCTCATCTGATGGCACCTGTTCCCTCTATCGGGGACAAGGTCATCTGCCCACAGTAAATGAGAGTGGAGTGGAAGTTTGAGAAAAATGGGCTGTGTTGAAATAGACACCGTGGTGAATGGGGAGAGCAAATTGAGAAGCCAAGGGGAGCTGCTGGGAGGCACTGGGTTGGGGGCCTCGGTGGGGGAGTCAGATGAACGAAGGGCGATGAACCGAAGAACAGCAGGGTTAAAACAACGGATTTGAGTCAGTAGAATGTAGCTGGCAGTCAACGCTGTGGGCTCTGGTGTCAAAGTACTAGAACTCAAATCCCCCGTCTGAGCTTCTCAGGTGTGTGCACCATACAAGTCATGGTAAGCGAGTGGGGCAAGGGGCAGATGAAATGAGAAAGGGAACTTGTTATATAAAAACTGTTGGGCCGGGTGTGGCGGCTCATGACTGTAATCCCAGCACTTTGGGAGGCCCAGGCAGGTGGATCACCTGAGCTCAGGAGTTTGAGACCAGCCTGACCAACATGGTGAAACCCTATCTTTACTAAAAATACAAAAATTAGCCAGGCATAGTGGCACGTGCCTGTAATCCCAGCTACTCAGGAGGCTGAGGCACGAGAATCGTTTGAACCCAGAAGGCAGAGGTTGCAGTGAGCCGAGATCGCACCACTGCACTCCAGCCTGGGTGACAGGCGAGACTCTGTCTCCAAAACCAAAACAAATATCTAAAAAAACAAGCGGTTGAAGCTGAGAGCTACTTGGAGTTCAGTGATCACTGTGACACACACACGTTTTTGAGAACGAGTTTCACTTTTGTTGCCCAGGCTGGAGCGCAATGGCGAGATCTTGGCTAATCGCAACCTCCGCCTCCTGGGTTCAAGCGATTCTCCTCCCTCAGCCTCCCCAGTAGCTGGGATTACAGGCACGCGCCACCATGCCCGCCTAATTTCGTATTTTTAGTAGAGACAGAGTTTTTCCATGTTGGTCAGGATGGTCTTGAACTCCCAACCTCAGGTGATCCGGCCACCTTGGCCTCCCAAAGTGCTGGGATTACAGGCGTGAGTCACCGCACGGGGCCAACATATATTTTTAAATTTATTTAGTAAAAAGAAAAAATAAATCCTCCAGAGCCCCTATTACTCCAATGACACCCAAACTTGCAGAGCACAGCCATTCCTGGTCACATCAAGCTACTTGCCCTCCCCCTCCAGGCGCCAACTACTTGCTGTGGGGGTGTGAGTCTGTACTGATGCATGCTCCTCCCTCAGCCTTGGGGACATCCCCCATCACCCCAATCATCACAGCTGTTGGTTGCCTTGTGCTTGCCCCTCCTCCCGGAGGAGAGGAGCACATCCCTGGAAGCCCTAGATGACGCTGCCCAGCCTTCCTGTCTGGGCACCCACATTAATCACAGCCAACCCACCATGCCTTGAATGTAGCTTCCATCCCCCCCGGGTGTCCTCTCCTCTGGCCAACCCTTCTGTAATGCTCCCCAGTGTGGCTACCTTACCTGCCTGAAGCCGCCTGACTCAAGCTGGACAGGTGCAGCCTTGTCCTGGCACTTCCCAGGCCTCTCCTCTCTTGTGAGCCTGCAGTTCTGCTCAGCCCTGGAACTGCACCATCCTGCTGAGGGTCTCCGCATGTCTGAGGGGCTTGGGAAACTATGCTGCATAATTTGAGTTTAGTCCAACAGGCTGCCTTCGCCTCACATTTAGCTGCTGTCTTGATTTTTTCCTTTTTGTTCCCTGCTTCTGGAGATTCCAGTTGAGCGAACCAAGCCAGGGTTTAGAGTGAGAAAGTTGGGGGGTGAAAGCGAGGACCCCCCCCCACCGCCGGGTCAAAGGCTCTTCTTTCCAGGAACCCAGGGCAGAGGCCACCTGGGTCCCCTGTAGGCCGTGAGCACACATCTTCATGTGCACCCAGTCACTGTGAAAATCAAATTTCATCTCAGCTCTGGGCGTTTCTCTGTAGTGGTTCTCAACACAAGACCAATAAACCTGACACTTGCTGGGAGTGAAATCCAGTAGGAGAGAAGTGGTCTAAGACATAAGCCCGTTGAGTCAACCTCGTATTACTAAACTTCCTAATTTAGGAACTGCACTCCGGGCCCTAACACCACTTTTTGGAGGCAAGGTCGCTGTTTATGTTTCTCTCAAACCCAGGCTGTTAGTGCAGAGGTCCCCCTAGGCCTGCCTGCTCCAGCCGCCCCCGTCCTGGTGTCACTGCCTGGGAATGAGCTGTGCCACCATCCAGCCCAGTCCTGAGGGACGCCCAGACAGGGCAGCAGACACCTCCATGTGGTGCTGCCTCAGGGGGCAGAAGGAGGTGCACCACCTGCTGTAAGCTGAGGAGGGAGGAAGTGGATCTGGAGCCTCGGAAGGAAGTCGGGGGACAGGGGAGTGGAGGTGCTGGCTGTGCAGAAATGAACAGGGTGGGCCGCTGTGCTCAGGGGCATCCTTGCTCTGGACAGTGATATGTCTAGGAGATACTATGGTAGCAATCTCCACTTCTGTGGCAAAATATGTTAGGAAAATGACCCAAATGCCAAAGGGGAGGAAGAAACCATTCCAGGGGCCAACCTTTTGTTTGTGAGGGAAAACACTATTTTAATTCAGACTAGCTTTAAGGCCTTCCATTCATATACAGATCCAGTTAGATTCCAAACAGCAAAGAGGTCATCAATCAGCTCATTTGATCTGAAACTGTAACAAGACTTTGCTAAACGTTGTAGAAAAGTAACCCAGCATGGTGTCCTCGGCACTGTGCGTCCATGGCGGCTGAAAGCTGGGCCTCCTGTGGTCTGCCTGCCCTAAGCAGCCGTGCACGCACGCACACCTGCCTACCCCACCTGCCTGGGGCACGTGTGGCCACAGGCGCCCTTCCCAGAACCGCAGCTCATGTCAGGTTTGGCACATACATTTTATTTTACTTTCACATTGACACATTCAGGAAACCATTCTGAGAAAAGGTAGAGGCCGCCTTGAAGCAAAGCCTGACTCCCTCCTCTACCCCGGGCTTGGCAGCACCATGCAGGCTCAGGCTGGCACTCACACCAGGAAACTGTACCGGGTCACGGCGGCCCTGGCTGTGGATGGTATCTGAGATGGTCACTGTGGCTTGCCCTGTACCAGGGCCTACCTCGCTGCCAGGAAGTCACGCTGCTGGAGGCTACCTGGGCCATGGGTTTTATTGCTGGTGAACTTGGTTACCCACCTTCCAGTCACATGGTCCAGGATGGTGGCATGATGAGAAATGGCTCTGGCGGTGCCCATTTTGCTGAGATGAAAGGAATCGAAATATGTAAACGACACTGAATCCTGTGATGCTGGCATGTGGCCCCTGCTAGTCTTCAGCTCCAAGGTGGGAGCTCCCTGGAGGAGACAGGTGGAGATGGACCCCCACACACCACACCACCCTCTGGCTATCGCTGACCACGGGAACAAAACAGTCACAGAAAGAATGCTTTGCCTCCACAGTCGTAGCAGCACCCAGATGAAGGCCAGAGGTGCCGCTTTATTCCTCAGATCTGATGCTGCAAAAGCCTCTGTGGTTTCAGCAGTCCCCTTGCTTCTCTGTCCCTCCTCAGAGTGCTGGGTGCTGTTCCTGCAACCAACCAGTGACCCAGTGACAGGTGAGGCCACCCCAACTAGCCAGGAGAACCTCAGGGGCATCCCCTTCCTTGACATCTGAGGGAAATGGCTCCTAACGCTGTGTGATGCGTCCTCCCTGCTGGGCTGTCAAACTGCAAATCTTAAGTCTTCTCTCCCCTATGAGGTAAGCAAAGGCCAGCAACATCCTAATGACAATGGCAGGGGTGGGGGCAGGGTCCTCAGAGCATCTTACATCCGAACTAAGCTGTAACAGTCAGGGTCCTGAGTCATATGTCGAGCAACTCACAGCCCTGTGGGAGACCCCAGGCATCCTAAAAGGAGGGGTGTGGTGGAGAAAGGGTCATTTCTGGGCTTCGACCTCCACCTGGTTAGCCCCAGGTCTAACAGAGATATTTGAATTCATAGGTCCTATGCATTAGTTTAGCAAAAAGTCTGGTTTCTGGTACCCAAAGAGCTTAAAGTCCCCTTCGAAACGTGCATACAGGCGTCGGATGTCTCGTTTGCTGATGCCCAGGAAATAGTGCTCCACCTTGGTTCTGTTATACACGGTGATGCCCGGAGGGATGGTCGGGTATGACACCAGGTGGTCAATGCCAGCCTCTTTTAAGATGTAGGGGGCATCGTCCTCCAGGGTCTCGTGGTGTCCAATCACACTGTACATTATCTCACAGGGCGCACAGAGCTCCACATACGTCACCCAGTGAATGATGTGGTCCCCAAACTGAAGGTCTAGCCATCTGTGGTTCGGATCGCCCAGGTAGCGCACGAAATCTTCAAACTGGATCCCCCGGGTCTCCGTCCGGTTCCTCCTGTATTTTCTGATGATGCCAGGGGCAATCTCATGCCTGTACCAAGGCTCAAACCGGGGATTGTGAACAAATTTATCCTTAAATGCAGAAATAAGTCTTTCGAAGGGATCTCTTACAATAAAAAACTTGAAGTATGTTTTCAATCTAAGGAAAAAAATGAACAAGAGGTTAACTTGACACCCCAGGAGGTCATAGCCGAGGGGGCGGGAGAGGGAGGAGTGAGCGGAGCGCAGCACTGTGCATGGGACCCTCACCTGCCGAGGCTGCCGTGAACGCATTCCACACGTCTCTTACTTAATCTACTCCAAGATCCTGTGGATTAATCCTGTTATTACCCCACTTGGCAGGTGAGGAAACGGAGGCTTGGAAAACCTTACCTGTCCAAGGCCACAGCACTCATCGTAGGCAGTCACTGTAAAGACATCTATTTAATCTACATTCTGTTTTACTTGAATGATTCAAAATCATTCATTCAATGATTCAAGAATGTTTACAAATGTTGTTCCTGGGCAGAAAATCCTAAGGGCAGGAACTATGAGTGAGTCAGGAATAGATGAGGCCAGGGAAAGTTACTTTAAGGGCATATTTTAAAAAATTCAATTCCAATTGCCAGGGGAAGGGGGGCAAGAGAAAATGGAGAGTCAGGCTTCACACTCCAGCGGGCAGACGCGGGTCTGGGTGAGCTGCCAGCAGGTGGCAGCAGAGCAGGGCCCTGGGGAGGAGGGCCGGCAGCAGTGACGATGACAACAGTGACACCACGGAACACGGCGTGCTTACGACGGGCCAGAAACTGCTCTCTGTGCTTTGCACGTCTTCACTCACTGAGTCTCACAAAAGCCCCACGAGTGCTCAAGGCGACAGCAGGACAGTCCTCACCAGAAGCATCTCTGGTAAGGGTTGTAAGGGTGGACGGGCGCCATGCAAGGCAGGTGGATGCAGACCCAGGAGGCAAAATCCAGCTGGTGACCTGATGTGAGCTGCTGCTTCTGTATCCTCACTGCTTTTCAGCTTTGCTGTCCCGGGCCACCTGAGAGCTACTGCATGAGAACTTTCTCACTTATTAGCTAACGACTCCATCTTTTTTTTTTGAGACGGTCTTGCTCTGTCACCCAGGCTAGAGTGAAGTGGCCAGATCTCGGCTCACTGCAACCTTTGCCTCCAAGGTTTAAGCAATTCTCCTGTCTTAGCCTCCCAAGTAGCTGGGACTACATGTGTGTGCCACCATGGCTTTTTTTTTTTTTTAAAGTAGAGACGGGGTTTCTGTCAGTCACACTCATCTTGAACTCCTGACTTCAAATGATCCGCCCACCTTGGCCTCCCAAAGTGCTGGTATTACAGGCGTGAGCCACTGTGCCCAGCCTGGACTCCATCCCTGCCGCAATCAGGGGTTCTGTCTCTCTACCCTGCCCATGCTGGGTGTAGCCCACACAACCGCTCCAGGGGCAGCTCCCACAGCAGTGGGCACAATGCCTCCGGGAGAATCAAATACTCAGTGAGGTCTCTGCAATCCAAATCCCTTTCTTGTAAAGAAAAGATCATATTCAGCAAGCAATCTATAAAACTTTACCAAAGGAGAACAAAGTTGTCTGCTCATTTCTATCAATAAAATTATGTAACCTTCATGTTAATGGACTGTGTGAAGGTGAGGCTGGAAATTCTCAGAAGGAACTGAGAGTTGAGAGGAGCTGAATGGCGGGTGAAGTTAGCTGCCTCTCACTGATGCAAACCGACAGCCCTCTGTGGTCCTCCAATCAACCTGGCAAGTACAGAACTGAGCCTGGGGTTTTTCCCAAATTTCTTCCCAGGTTTACAAAAACTCCCCCCTCCCCTTTGAGGAAGCTGCTCTCACCGCTTCTGAATTTCTGCATCACTGAAGGAAGAGAGCCGAGGAAGGCCGTTCTTCTCGTGGTCGTGCACCACGTTTTCGGGGATCTCCTCAATGGAAGGAAAGGCTCCTGGGAAGTAAACAGAAGGGAAGGCGGGTTGGCTGCTCCAGTGCGCCCCTTAGAGAAGGGCATGTCCTTACCTCGGGCCCCATGTTCCCCACGTGTGCATGACACGCCCACCCCCAATATCCAAGTTTAGGTCTTTGAATTCCAACCGCTTCTGCCAGCAGGAGGAGAGAGTGAAGAAAAGCTTCCGGTGAATCCATAAGCCAACTAGAGGAAACTGACGCTTTCAGAGAGGAGGGGGAGGGAGCAGGAGTGGAAATGCTGGCAGTGCCTACCCCTGGCAATGGACCTAACTGGGCTAAATCTGCCATTAGAGGAAGATCGCTGCATGCAAACAGAATTCCTAACACCAGCAATACTTACTCTACTCTGAGACTGGGGGAAAATGCCGGAGAAGCAGGACTTTGGAACGTCGTGCTAACAGATGCCGGCGGCAGCTTCACAGCCCTATCCCATAGACAGGCTAAGCTCTCCAAGCACCACATGCCGCCCAGCCCACGGTGGCGCTCAGGTACCCCCGGAGCATCCCAGGCTGGCAAGGAGCAAGGACCTTTTGATGCTGGAAAAATCTGACTAAGCTATGGGATACATTTGAGACAGGAGTCAAAAGAGGACAAGGCGTGTCGAGTAGGCAGGGCCGTGCCAACAGCCAGGGTCTGTCATCAGGGACCAGTGCAGGTCCAGGCTGCTGAATGGAACTTGGGCAGGGTCATCCTCGGCCTGGGGGCCGAGCAGGTTTTTCACTCTTTTCTCAATGCAGACAAATGGAAATAAACGTCAGTATGCTGAGGTTTTCTCCAAGTCTCTGCAAACCTTAATATCCATCTCTGTGTTAATCCTGTAGGGTTAAGATTGGAGACCTGGCAGGGAAGACTCTCCCTTGGCCATCTGAGCAGTGGACACAGTCTTGTCTGTTTTATTCATTCCTCCCCCGAGTGTTTAAAGCCTAGTCCAGAACTCTGCAGTATGTGCTATGGATGGTTGCAAATTAGGCGTGGGGAGCACTGCTCTCAAGGGCACAATGGCAGAACCAGCTCTGTGGGTCCACACATGGACCCATTCACGTACCTGTCCCCATCCAGGTACACCAGTGGTCACCAAAGACAGCCACAAGGACCACCCGCTTCTGTATTACATGACACAGCAAGCCCACTCCGATTTCTACACTGCCCTTGTAAGTGGGTGTTTACTTCTTAAAGTATGCTGCTTCACACTGTGGTGGCTGATTTGTGAGTCTTTTGTATAGTTCTTGTTTTCAATTTGATTTGCAGCCTCCGTCTGCTTCTGAAAACCCAACATGCTATCCAATGACTGCAGAAGCACATTAACTATATGTGACAACCAGAAGACGAGATGCCACCATTCTCTCTCCCAGCCAACCCATGTGAAGGCCAAACAGCGGCCAGGAGTGACCACGGACTCTGTGGGCAGCATCAGGAGTGGCAAGCAGGACATGGAGCCCCAGGACCACCCACCCATGGTGCCCCAAAATCTGATTCCTGATCCAGGAGTCCCACTGCTGCTGACAGGAACTAACTTCTGTCTGAAGCTAAATTTCATAAGCAGAGCCCATAATTATGAGGATAGGTTTAGACTAATTGGAATTAAAACAAATAAACATCTCTAAAAAGAGTAGTGAGTAATCAAAACTGCCGTGTATGAGGTCACTTTGTGATGATCTAATCTGTTCCTTAGCAAACATCAGGTTTCCTGAAGCAAGCTGACTCAATCCTCTGAACGCAGATGCTTAGTGTGAAATGGGGCACAATTTCTTCCTGCTCGCTGACAAAGAACGCTTGGTCTGCAGGTAAAGAGGCCCCAGGCCCCGGGCCAGGGCTCCCCTCCCAGGATCTATGGTGTGAGCCCTTCTCATTGCAGAGAGGGTAACCGTGAGGCTACCTGGCGGCTCAGCGAGTGTGGGGCTCTGGGGACGTGGGACACAGTGGGTGACCATAACCATCAGCGCAGGGAACCTGAAGAGACAAAGGAGGGGGGCCTGGGGGTGGGCAAGCCACCAAAAGTGAGGATCCGCTGTGACAGGTAAGGAGAGCCGGACTGTGGCCGTGCCCCTTTGAAAAGAATCGGTGTCTAAACGAGCCCCCCTAACTTTTAAGGCACAACACTAACAGGAAACCACAAAAGCAGGCCTGACTGGAAGGCCACCAGTCCTTTCAGGAGAAATCAGCCCCTGTGTGACTCCTCCCGGCCGTCCTCCCCAGCCTCCTCAGCCACGGCCGCCGAGACCCTTCCCAGAGGGACACTCCGCGAACCCACACACACCGTTCAGAACAATCAGTACTTTCTTCCACTGGGTGTTCCCCACTTTGGGAGTCTGGCAGAAAAGAATCCTGTGCTTGTCACAGACAAATATTCGGTCCAGGACAAACTTGGAGACGGGAGTGTGCGAGAGATTCTTCAGGGCGTCATCCCTGCAGACGTTTCTGATGAGTTCCAGGCGCTCCATGTAGACCAGGGGTTGAACGAGCCGGCTGTCTGGAAGCTCCTTCCCAGTTGGCTGCAGGTGACACGGAGCAGAAGAGGCCCAGGGACCATTAAAAGAGGCAGGACCGGGTCAAGCAGAGCTGCTCCTGCTGGCCTATCCCCTCCTTTCCATCTGGGGCCCTCTTTTCTTCCCTTCCTTGCCTTTCTACAGAGTGACACCCACTACCCCCAGCCCCCTCCCGAGGCCTTCCTCAGAGCCTCTCCACCAGCCTGATCGGCAGGCTGGGCAAGGAAAATGCATGCGAGCTTGGTTCCTCGGACGTCTTTGGAGATAAGTTTGACTTTAAGAAACAAAATAAGGCCGGGCACAGTGGCTCATGTCTGTAATCCCAGCACTTTGGGAGGCCAAGGTGGGCAGATCCCAAGGTCAGGAGTTCAAGACCAGCCTGACCAACATACTGAAACCCCATCTCTACTAAAAATACAAAAATTAGCTGGGTGTGGTGGTGCATGCCTGTAATCCCAGCTACCTGGGAGGCTCAAGCAGGAGAATCACCTGAACCTGCGAGGTGGAGGTTACAGCGAGCCTGAGATCGCACCACTGCACTCCAGTGTGGGCATCAGAGCAAGACTCCATCTTGGGGGGAAA